TGACTTTTATCCTAACAAATGCCAACCACTGGCTTGTTTGTAGTATAAATGCATGAAACTGAATTGAGACCTGATGTAAGTAGATGCATCTCTCAAGGAAGTAGCTGGACCAAATTAAGTGGTGATATATCTGGTGGTGTAAGTGATACTTTACATGGGAGTTGGCAAGAAAATGAGTATAAAAGCTCACTAATGAGACAGCTATGTATGTTGATGCTCTTACTATAAGAAAAACTTGCACAATTCTCTTTTAAGATTTATCCAAGTAGCTATTTTATTATAGTTTTTCCAGGCTGTTTATAAAATGTTAAGTCTCTGCTACCTATATAGCTTCCATTACCAGAGTATCTAAGCACCACAGAATCTTGAGATGTCTTTGTTCTCAAAACATGGCAGGAGGTATGGAAGTATTATTATCTCTGTGAGATGGAGAACACAGGTTCTCTGTTTCAGTAACATGACACAGTTCATACAGTAAGTTTCTCTCAAAACAGGAAATTGAAACAGAACCTAGGGATAGCTCCCAACTCACTTGACTTTCCTTCCTTTCTCAGTTTGTTTCTATCAACTGGATAAATTCAGGGTCCTTGTCCTTAAGACTTGTATCATACGTCAGCAATACCAATGTAGTTCTGAAAGAAGGTCTAAACCTTCTTTAGAATTTGGAAAATCTTATTGTGTCTATCTATTCCTAGATAGTCTCAATGCATTAGAAATAGAGAAAATGAGCTGTACAGTGTTCGGTTGGTACTTCCAGCACACAAGAATAAGCTCCCTCCAGAGGTGGTGCAATCACCTACCCTGGAAATCTTCAAGAGGAGACTGGATTGTCACCTGCTGGGGTCACCTAACCCCAGTTGTCTTTCCTGCCTGGTACAGGGGGCTGGACTCCATGATCTTCTGAGGTCCCTTCCAGCCTCGCAATCTATGAAGCGAAGGTAGATTGGCACATTTAATTAGGCTTCATGGGGGAATAATAGGGGAATAGCTGCCAGTGCAATATTTTCTTTTCATTTCATTTTCTTGATACCTAATGACACAAATAGACATTTTACAAGAACTGTGAAAACAGGTCTAGAATTAATCGGCCTCTAATCTTCTGAAACCGTTCTGGCTGGAAGGAATTGAATCAAGGTTTTAAGGCCTGATCCTGTAACTATTTACTCACACAAGCAATCCTCATACATCAGCACACGTTCTGGAGTTTTGCAGAACGGTGTTCATAGTAAGTGTTTAAAGAAAGCTGTGCAGGAAATGGTTCTCATAATGTAAAAAAATTAGGAGATTTAAAAAAAAAATCTCTATTGCAGTGCTTCCCAAACTTTTCCTCAGCATGACCCCATTTATGGCCCCATTTCCTCATCATGACCCCTCACTCCCAACCCACAGCCCTCCACCCCCATGACCCCATCCACTGAGGTTGCATTTGGGGTCACAACCCACAGTTTGGGAACCACTGCTCTATTGGTATAAAACCAAGGTCATTGTGTGACTGGAGTATGAAATCCTACTCAGATCCTCCCAGCAGGTTAAGGCAATTGCCTAGGAAGTGAAAAACCCACGTTCAAGTCTTTGCACTGCCTGGTTCAGTCTTCTGTGTCACAGGTGAATGCTTCAACCACTGGACTGTAGAGTCAGCTTCTCTGGTGGTCTTATTAAATTAATATTTAATTATTTTTAAAAAGGTGAACAGCACCAACAGGAGATATTGAGAGATAGTCACCCCAGGATAGCCAACAGCCTGGTGCAGTCCTCTGGGATATGGGAAACTTGAGGTTCAAGTATCTGGTTTGAATTGGGCAGTCTCTCTCTCTTTCCTGCAGACCAGACATTCCACCTTTTTGAAACTGGTACATATGTTCCCGTGAAAAATTTTAGTTTCAACAGATTGATGTGTCCATCTAAAACCTATTTACTAGAAAATTCCTGACTAGTTCTATTTGCAGTTCCAGTTCCTTGCTATTAATTCCCTTACCAGTCAATCCAGAAAAGGTATATGATGTGCTGAAAGCCACGTGTCTGACTTCACAGTACGCGACAATTTATACAGGACTGTAATGGCCATTCAGTTCACTTCTTTATACAAAAACAGCTTAGATAAATTGATGTTATAGATTTTAAGGTCAGAAGGGACCGTTATGATCATCTAGTCTCAGCACCTGCATAAGAGAAGCTACAGAAACTCACTTAGTAATTCCTAAACCAAGCCTGTAACATCTGTGTAAGATGTAACATCTGTCTTAAAAAAAACCCCAGTCTTGCTTTTAGTAGATGATAAATCCAAAAGAAGCCATGGTAAAATTTTCAAAAGGCTAGTTGCTCTCAATTTTCTTCCAAATATTAGACATTATCGCTCTTGTTTTTCTCTTGCACACTGCCAAGTTTTTTCTTTTCTGCCTTTCTGCACTCACACGCTCCCAGAGTCAACATATCTAAATGCATGGACAGACCTAGAATTTTGAAAAGGGAGGTGCAGATGGTATGGTTCATCATCACATGTAACACAACAAGTATTTTTTTCTAGTTAAAGAGAAATGAGATGCGTTATTACAATGCTAGGGAAGTTAGTACTATGTTATTCAGTTTAGGCTAAAAGCAAAATTATTGGAATATGTACTAAGTTGCTAGATTTATATATAAAGTTTAAAAAACCCAACAAACGAGGCTTTTAACAAACATTTAACATTATATTTAAATGTAAGTCTCCTGTTCATATTCATAAAAAAGAAATCTAGACTTCTTGAGTGTTTTGAGCATGCTTCCAATACTTCACTGTCAGTCTTTCTACATCTGAATTAATATTATCACACCTGACTTAAGATTTTTAGCTAAAGCTAAAAACAGTCTGCAGGGCTATGAAATAGAAGACAGACATCACCAGGAAGGACTAACAGACAACACAATTGCAGAAGATAGGATAGCTTGAACAATGGAACTTCAATACCATTAACAAGGATAAGGGGCCATTAACACCTGTGGAGTGGAGAGAATGAATGAATTAAAGAGGTGACAATGAGCCATGAAGTCAATTGACTCTTTCAGCCCTACCTGAATAGAAATGCTGCTGCCCCTGTAGGCAATTGGTTTTAAAGTTTGGGTGGACCAAGAATGAAAGTAGGGTGCAGCTGTACCACTGAATCCCCTTGCATCCTCCCCTGCCTAATAATACACTTAGCATAGTGTTTTATTGATTCCTGTGATATGCTTCCTCCAGCTAGACTCTTCAGCATGTTTACTTACACTGATCCTGCCTTGAGCAGGCGGCTGAACTAGATGGCCTCCTGAGGTCCCTTCTAGCTCTGCTTTCCTATACTCATATATGGGAGAGGCAGCATCATTTCTATTCAGGCAGGGGTGAATGAATCAATTGGCTTCATGGTTACTGTTATCTCCCTAATTCCTGTTAATCTGTCATGTGTGTGTGCACACACACATGTGCACATATATAATAAATATGTGTGTGCACTTATAGTTGTATTTTAAGTATTTAGGTTTTCATGTATTTATCCTAGAAAAGACAAGATCAAAGAAGTACACCTTGTGCCATGAGCTTAAAGCAATAAGATTCATAATGGCTCTTAGTTCCTGGGGGAGTCCTGCCTTGGCCCAATCCCAGAAAGAGTTCTGTCTCCCACCCATATTTTGGTAGTCTGCTAAGGCACAGGAATATAGGTACAATCAGATTCTTCACATAGGATTGAAAACAGCATAGCCTCTTTTTTTTAAAGAAATGACAAAGTCTGAAGTGAAATACGTTTGCCTGTATTAAAGAGGTTTAAAAAAAAAGCCCAAACATTTTGATTAAGCACAGTATTCTCTCTCTCAAAATTGAAATCTGATTCTATAAAGGAAGATTTTTTCCAGTTATTTGTGTAACCTGTTTTCTAGCCAAAATCACAATATTCACAACTGTGCTTTCTTAGTAAAAGCACGAACCTCAAGTATAAATTATTTTTGCCTTCAGCCAGCAATTTCCTAATGTAAAGGGTAAATTTCCTTGGATTCTGTTAAACTCTTGCATAAAACAAATATTAAAAAATCCTTTCCTGCAGGATGGTTAAAGTTACAGGAATGTACACAAGGAATAGAATAGCTAGATCCCAAATGTTTCTACAGGCTATCAGGAAATGGAAAACTTATCACCACTGAAACAGTTACAAGAATAGTGGCATGCATTTGATGGCAAAATCTTCCACATATAAATAAATACTCATGTTTAACTTCAGTGGTGTTAGCAATTTGGATGAAGTTAATGAGTAACTCACTTATTCTTATTCAGTTAGGAACATTGAATTGATAAGTTCTACTGAAGAAATATGTTAAAGATTAATATTTATTCAGAATTGCTCTTTGTTTTGTGAAAGTATCTGTCACTTAAATGGGTTTTTTTATAAACATATTGGTTACTTTAACAACAACAAAAACACAAATCTTAGAATTTGTTTTAAAAATTGACAGGTTATTTTTCCTTTGCATACTTCAGTACCCAAATGTGACAAGATGTACCTATAAACTACATCTGTGTTTGAAGAAAGTCACACCTTAGAGTTGAATCTGAACTGTGGTTGAAGGATTTGGGACCTTAGTATTCTGCATAGAGCAAAATATATCATAAAAGGCATGCAGTCTTTTCCTGCCTGACTGGTGTGTCCCCTCCGTGAAATAGGCTGGACTAAATCCCTCCCCTGTGTAAGTACATTATGGTAAATGGAAATATAGAAGAACTGAATTTAAACAGAAAATATAGTCTCTTGATACTTTTTCTGGCTTGTCTTTCATCCATTTTCATTTTAGCATGTCCCCCTGGGGAAAAATTTTTGCCCTCTTCCACAAAAACCTTTCAATTAAGAGAGAACCATATATTATGTTTGATATTGATCACATTTTGAAGTGTTTTTCATATGAAATCTAGAAATATTGCTTGTAAGCAGCAATATATTTAGATTTTCATAAGAAGAGTATAACATTCAACTTTTCATGTTTATTTTTCTTTTAACCAGGTAGACAAGAAAATTGTGCGAACTGAAATCGGAGTTTTACTTCGCCTCTCACATCCAAACATTGTAAGTTTGGTGCTTTTCCATTCTTCTACTCTGTCTCCTCTCTTTAAACTGTATACGGTGTCTAAGATTTCAATAGTGTAAGCTGTGTAGCTAATAAGCTACTTCATCAGATATACAAAGCAGATGGTTGCCTATGAACATGGCACTCTGAACCAGTTAGTCTCTGAGGCTAAGTACAAACATTTGGCGGGGGCTAGGGAGAGGGTAGATCAGGTTCAAAATGGTCACCCGATGTAACTTAGTTCAGCCCAGGTTGGACCTTATACTCCGATGGGTCTCAATGATCAGAAATTAATCTAAACCCTTAATCATACAGAAGTTCCATGCACACCGACCAGTCTCAAAATGGCCAAGTTCAGTCCAAGATAGAACTGCATCAATGTACACTCAAACTTAATCGAGCTAGGTTAGACCAATGCATGGAACTTCTGTACAGTTCTCTGCATGGCTCCAGCCCTGGGGCTGTACTTCTCATACCCCTGGCCTGGCACTGGGCTACTTTTAGCCCCCCAGCCACTCACTCTCCCTGAGGACCAGCCAGCCCTTCCCCCTCTCAACCACCATCCTGCATGCCACTCCAGGGGCTGCCAGAGCAGCATTCACCACTGCTAGAGCTGAGCAAGTAAGTCCCAGTGGGGGAAGGAATGGTAGGGATGGGGGGAGGTTTATGGGAGGGAGTTGGGGGGCTGAAAATATTCCCTGGTCCCCCTGAATTCCCACCACTAACTCCATGAGTCCCCCTGATCCTGCCAAACCCTACCAGCTC